TCGACTTGAATCAACAAGTACGTGAGTATATGGAAAGTGAGAATTTCCGACCTTCTCCCGACCTCGAATTTTATGGAACTATGTACGATTGTATTCTTTGACACATTCGTCTGCAATGACGGACCATGCCTGTTTTGCTCCATTGTTAAGTTTACATCTTATTCTGTTTACAAGTGTTTGGTTTAGTCTTTCATTTAGCCCATTTTATTGGGGGCAATCTTCACATGTAAAAATCACTGGAATGTTCATCTTGTTGAGATACAGCTTGAGTTCTATAGAATTAATTCCAGTGTACTGGTCGGCTAAAAATATTTTTATGTTATTTTTCTTAGCAATCGAATCAATTAACTTTATATAATCTGTTGCACATTGACTTTTTGTAGTATCTGCTAAAATGGTCCACTAAAATATGCATATATTTCTTCGGTGATCTATTACCAGCAAAACCACCAATTGTATCAATGGACATAATTTAAAATGGTTTTGTTGCGGGTCCTAATTTTGACATTAATCCTATGATTCTTTTTCTTCTGGTTTTGTTCTCTAAACATATAGTGCAATTTTTAAAAACTCTTCAATTAATTGATCAAAGTTTTTGAAATAATAAAATGGTCTTATTTTTTCTTTCAATTTTCCAGTTCCAATTTGTCCATAACATTCACGTACCTTTTTTATTGTTCTTAAGCCAAATTTATTAGAAACAAATATCTTCGATTTGTTCTTCAATTTTTTTTGTACTATGGCGTTTTTCAGTTTTCTTGGCGGTCTTTAACTCAGCCATGTTATCATTTTGATTTTGAAGAATTTCAGGTCTTTCAATAAAGTTGACAACTTGAATTGCATCATAATTCTCAAAATATTCTAATACTGGTGATCGAGAAATTTTTATTAATTTATTTTTTTCTGCATTTTGTAGATTAGATTGGTTATTAGTTAGTTCATCTGAATTAAACATCTTGTTATTGTTATTCATCTGATCTCTTTCTTCTATTGATGACATTGTTATTCTTGATTTTTTGTACAATGTATTTTAGTCTTGAATGAGTTTGACCTTTTTTTATATCATCAAGACCCAGCAATAAATCATAGGAAAAATTATTTTTGACTACGTACGTATTTAAATTATTAGTTAAATCGCCAACCTTAACAACTACACTTGCCCAGGTCGAACAAAAATTGAACCCACTGATGATTTTGAATGCTATTTTATTATTCATTAATTCTAGTTTTAAAATATCTATGATTTTTTTATTTATTAGACTTATGTTTGATCCATCATCATAAACCGTCTGAACTTTTAATTATTATCTATTATTATATTCACTCTTATCAGTGCATTCAATTTTCCGGTCTTTCTAGTTTAAAGAATTCATATCATTTTCAATATTCATCATTTCTGCTTCCTCATCTGATTGGTGGTTATTATCATGCATATTAATTACTCTTTTTGACAAGTAAAGATTTTTGTTTCTACATTCATTTGATAGATGATATCGACTTCTCCAGCCTAATTCTTCGCATGGTTTCTTTGCTGTGGTATATGATATGACAAAATTTTCTTTATTTAGTGTATTATTTTCATTTCTTTGATTTGTTTATAAATTTTATAATTTTATTGTCTTTGCTTCTGTTTTGTATTTTGGTACTGAAATTTCTTTGTCTACGTTTTCATGTATCTGATTGTGCTGATAAAGTAGTTTTGTCTTGACTTCCATATTGTACTTTGGTTTCTTTGTTTTGACTGTAGTTTCATTATCTAAAAATTTATTTTCATATTTCGGCCTGATGTTAAAGACGCATTCATCAATTTTTAATTCTTTAAACAGTTTTTCAATGGTCGTTATTTCTTTTCTATCAAGCTGGTTTTGTATTTCTACGGGAAGGCCCACAACGATCATGCTTATTCTCGACATTGCAGTAGGGTCCATTTCAATTTCTAAACATAGATTTTCTTTTGCTAAGGCGTAGTCTATTAAAGAGCAGCCTAAATATTTGAAATTATATGCGGTTCTTATTTTTTTCCAACCTTTGTCTGCAAAAATGGTGAGAAAAGATTTTCTCCATTCTGGCCATTTAGTTAATCCGATGTTTTTTTAAATTTGTTTCGTACCAGTCCTCCGGTAAACCAGATAAGAAGAAGCCTTCGATATTCATTTTTAAATCTCTCTATCCAATCAGTAGGGTTTTGTTTTTTGTTGAATTTTTCCAAAATATTTTTTTTTTTTGATTGAGAATATGATAGGACAGAATACGTATAAAATGATAACAGGAACATTCGCCTGAGCGATGATTCGCTCGAGCGATGATATAGTAAAGTGTAAGTATAGTAAAATGTAACGATGTAATAGTGTAAAGAATCGTGCGATTAAGTCAAAATTGTAAAATCGTGACGATGTATGTAGCGTAGAAATCTTAAATGGCCAAATGTATGATATCAATAACAATGGCAATGAAGTGATAAGCTTGACAGTAATTACAGGAAGTATTAAAATGAAGTAGTGGCGAAGTAACGTATGGAAGAGTAAGGAGAAAGTAAATTTTTTTTATTATTATTCTGTAAAGATGCAGTATAGGTTTACCTTTTACTATGTGGCGAAAAAAATTACAATATCGAGTAGGTTTTTCATTTGGTGTTTTTTGTCTTTTTTTATTTTCTTAGATTGCCTAAAAAAATGTGTTGTTGTTAGGATGGATGGTTGATTGGATAAATGAATGAATGGATGGATGAATGAATGAATGAATGGATGGATGGATGGATGACAGAATGGATAAATACATGTTTGTTAAAATGGATAGATTTTTGGATGAACGAATGAAGAAATGGATATGTGGATAAATAGAAATAAAGAATTAATAAACGAATAATTGGAGGGATGAATAAGTGAATGAATAAATGAATGGATAAATCAATAGACGAATGAATATAAAAATAAAATACAATGCTACAAAAAAGGAATAAAGTCCTTATTAATAACACAACGAATGTGAGTGATTGAAGTTATGTAGAACCCTATAGAACGAGAAAGTTAGAGAGAAGATAGACAGAAAAGGAAAAAATGGAAAAATAGAAAGAGAGAGAGGGAAGAGAGAGGTAGAGAGAAAGAAAAGAGGTAAGAAAAACAGAAGAAACAAACAAAATTAAAAACGAAAACAGAAAGAAAAAGTATTTTTACTTAAAAAAAATGATAATGGTAATCACTGAGAGTGTGTTTGTGTGTATGAGAGAGAGAGAGAGAGAGAGAGAGAGAGAGAGAGAGAGAGAGAGAGAGAGAGAGAGAGAGAGAAAGAAAAAGAGAGAGTAACAACAACAGTAACAATGACATCAATGCTGACAGTAACGTGGATGAGCAGTTGATGCAAATGAAAAGGAATCCAATTGCTCTTTCGTTTTGTTTGGATGCTGGTTGGTTGTTGTTGTTGTCGTTGTTAATCTCGGTATTGTTGATGATGTTGTTGTTAATGCTTTTGTTGTTATTAATGTTATTGTTGTTGTTTAAATTGTTGTTGTTGGTGTTGTTGATGTTTTTGATGTTGTTGCTTCTGACGTTGTTGTTGATGATGTCAATTTACGCTCAGCTCTTAATACTCGGACATAAAATATATAAAAAGCTCTCACAAATAAACATTCAAATATACACATACACAAATGTACACAAACACATGCACATACACACAAGAACACAGATACTCTTCCAATATACTTCTTAACATTTGCTAGTTCAAATTAGAAGTAGCAAGGCAAAGATGATTTCGTATAATTAATTCATTATTAGGTTACAGAACCAAGCTCGAGGAAGGTCTAAACAACGACGACAACAACAACGACGACAACAACAACAACAACAGTAATAAAAACAATGCAAACAACAAAAACACAGCAACAAAAATCGTCAACAACACAAAAAATAGCAAGAACGTCTTCTACAGATTCAGCCATCAGAACAGCAAAAATGCAAAATCAGACGCAGTAGTATGTAGTATTTTTTTTGTCCTTGTACTACTACTACAACTAACTTTTTACTCTACCAACACTAGAAGACTAATTATTATTTATAGCCTTCTTATGCTGCAAGAATAATTGTTTTTATTTTTGTTTCTTTATTATTGTCTGTCTGTGTGTGTGTCTGTTTGTGTGTGTGTGTCTGTGGGTGTGTCTGTGGATGTGTGTGTGTGTCTGTCTGTGTCTGTGTGTGTTAACATCATAACGTTATATACAACTTATACATATCAGTATTTTTTAATCTTATCATGTTATTAGTGATGAAAATCATGGCATGTTCCGCCTTAGTTAGCATCCCCTTTCATTTAATAACATCAGGTTCTATATTTAACTCGGTTATATGAACTTGTAATTAAAAAAATTGGCTACTAACATTATTTTCAATGTGACAAATATTCTTATATTCACTATTTCTTCATTTATTAAGTATAAACTGAAAGTCAATATAGTTGTAAGACCTGGAGATATTAATACTATGGCATAAAACAAACGAGTAGGTGCTCCGAACGAATTCGGTTGGTTGGCGACCGCCGAAGTTATAGAGTTGCAATGAATTAGAATTCTAAACATCAGAGCTCGTGTTATGAGATTAAATGACATAAAATATTTTTCTCCTTATTTGTTAATTTTATTTAATTTAGAATATGGATTTTGAAAATTTTTCAAAGTTTTGGATACAAGTTTTAACCGTTCAAAAAGCTCACGGATTAAAAATCTCAAAACATCAAAAAAGTTATCAAACAAGGCAGAAATAATTGAATAAACATAAATAATTGTGAAAAGAATAACAACAACAGCAGCAACTACACATCAGCATCATTTGAAATTGAAATCATCAACAACAACTACAACAAAACACAGTGAAATAAACTTATCATCGCCAGTAACAATAACGGCCTCACCAACAAACCACCACACACAACCACAAAGCGATAACAATAGATTTATCTGACCGCACACAACCACAAAACGATAACAATAAATTTATCTGACCACCAAGAACGGCCTTATCACTAACAACTACTACAACAAAAAACAATTACTATTATTATTTAAATTACCATAGCTATTGCTACTATTATTGCATTTACTATTACTGCTACTGCTACCACTGCTATTGATGTTGTTGCAGTTGTTGTTGCTACTGCTACTGCTAATACTTTACTGCTAATGCTACTGCTGCTACTTCAACTACCGCTTCAGTCTATTTTACTACAACAACAACAACAGCAGCAACAACAACAACAACTACTACTACTACTGCTATTGCTACTATTACTACTACTTCTACTATACTACTACTACTACTATTACTTTTGCTACAAATTAATAGTACTTGTTACAAAAACCGTAATCACAACTTAGTATAGACGAGGTTGAAAATCGTAACGTCTAAATGAGTACCTTTCTGAGATGAGTGATGATGTTGAAAATGTTCATCTCTGCATGGTATTAACAATTATGATGTAATTTTATGTGTGAGTTTGTGTGTGTGTGTGTTTGTGTGTAAACATGATGTAAAAAGAGGTAAGTAAGAGAGGAGCCAGCAATCAAGAAGTAAGCATCAGATTACGTAACAACAATTTGCATGGTGGTCGGTCAAATTCGTATGTCCGTGTTTTGTGTGTGTGTTTTTAGGTGTGTATGTGTGCGTATTGGTGTGTATGTGTGTGTTTTATGTGTTGTTGTTGTGTGTGTTTTGGTTGTTTGTGTATGTGTGTGTTATAAGTTATGTGTTTTTTCTTCTTCTTCATCTTTTTCTTCCTCTTCTTCTTCTTATTATTATTACGGTTAAAAAATTTAATTGATCTATCACTTTTTATTTATTTATCAATTTTTTAAATGTGTGTGTTTTTATTTTTATTTTTACCGGCACGATCGTAATTATTGATAAAATAGTTGAATAACAACAACAATATTTATAATAATTAATAAAAACAATAAAAATAATAAATAATAATTTATTATACATCCAAAAATATTTTCAACAGGTCAACACAGCAAAGAGTAAATCAAACAGCCTGCCAGGTATGTTGTTTTGAGTAAAAAATATTTACGTAAAATATTTATTTTTAATAAACGTGAGCGCTACATAATGAGCTATAAAATTTGTCTGGAATATTTATAATCTTATTTTCTGTCGTCTTTGTGTGTGTTCGAATTAAAGTTTATTTTCGATGAAAATGATGACGACGACGATGATGGTCATGATTGTGATGACGATGATGATGGTCATGATTGTGATGACGATGATGAAGATGATAATGAGATGAAGATGATGAGGAGGAGTATGGAAGTGTTGGAGCCAAATATTTTAGCACGAAAAAATTCATCTGACCTCGCCCGACACATTTTTTGCACGAAAATTATTTGCTCGAGTCTTTTTTTTGCCTGACTATTGTTATTTGGTTATATTATAAATGAAGCACTTAATAGACAAATTTTAACAACTGGCAATTAAAGGTAGCATTTTTATTTTTTATATAAATCCCTAATCAGGTCTCAAGCTCAACTGGAACATTGAGTATCAGTATCGCCGTTCTGGTCAATAAGAAATGTTGAGTCAATCGAGCTACAAAGAAATGGGCACATATAAATTTTGGAAACAGGCAAAAATTTCTGAATATAACTACTTTGGGATGCTATTTTAAATGACGAAGTTTGATGACAAAGGGTATAATCCTGAACTAGTAAAATATAACAAATAAAGAATGAAGTCATCTTTCTGAATGAACCTGAAAAGTTGTTTTTATTATCAGAATCATTAATATTTGGAATGGAATGGTGAAAATGTTGTTAGTGCTGACGATGAACGATTTTAAACAAAAATTGGTTGATTTTTTGACGAATGTAAAATTTAATTTACTGAAGAGCGGATTTGACAATAGTTTTTGAGAATTTCTCATAGTTTTTGAGAATTTGGCATAGAAACTTACCTGTATATTTTTCATATAGTAATAATAAAGTTATGTACGCAGCGTAAAAATATTGTAAAATTTTCTATGAGCCAAATTCATTGCTGAACAACAAAGCTACAGACTAGAAGCTCTGCAGCGCAGTAAATAAAAAGCAGTACGAACGAACAAACATATATACATACAGACAAGTAAATTTTAGCCGGAGTTAGCCATTCTGCAATTCATCAAACGGTGCTGAACAATTTAAATAATAATATTTACTGTTTAGTTTAAATAATAACAAAATAAACAATAAGCTAAAACGAGTATAATTCGAATTATTAAATTAATCAGTTATGACAGACAAACAGAGACAAAAAAATTTTAGCCGGAGTTAGCCATTCTGCAATTCAGGCAAACGGTACTGAACAATTTAAATGATAATATTTACTGTTTACAGTTCCAATATTAGTACAATAAGCCAAAAAGAATATTATTCGAATTATTAAATTATCTAATTATGCTATAAAGAACATAATTTTTTTAAAGTAAAAACTTTGAAAATTTCATTTGAAAAGATTTTGACTAAAATCATTGAAATCCTTATTACTTTATCAACCAAGTCAAAAATCGTTATGTTAAAAAAACCATGATATTATTTAAAAAAATCTCCAAAAAAGATTTGATTCAATATAGAAATCCTAATTTTACAATATTGATGAAATTTTCCGTTTTTTATTTTCCGTGATTTTTGGACCTCTGTTTTTTAATTTATTAATTTTATCGTTATTTGATTCATCAATTTCATTCTGATCATAGTCAGTTAATTGATATTTTATCCGACCATGATTAACTTCATTGTTCTCCTTGTTATTTTCTGTGCTGCTTTCCATCCTGTTAATGTTGGCTATTTCAATGTTGTTCGCTGATATTAATTGTTCTCGCAATTCCGAGCTTTCATATCTGAACTCCTGCAGACGATAATAGCCATCATCATGTTGTTTATACCTGAAATGACAAAAATTAAATTATTGACAGAATTGTATTATAGTCAACATTTGACGCCATTTGATAACAAGATCTATGTTAAAATAAGTTGTATGTATATAACCAACCAATGTAAGGCCAAAATCCACATTAAAATTCAGTTAATAATAAAGGAAATCAACGACATAAAAAAAAAGAATCGAATAAAAACCTAACTACTCATTCCATAAAACGATTACAAAGTGTTTCTGTTGCAATAGATGGCGTATGTCGATTTATTAGCAAAAATAATTAATTTGTCAATAAATGAGTTATAAAATTCACAAAATTTTAATTGACAATAAATTGAAACTATTATAAAAGACAATTGAAGTAATTTCAAATGTATTTAGAATAATTGAACAACAGTTGTGACATTGGCCAAACTTCTTCCTTTTCGATATCTGCGGATATCAGGCAATGACAACAAACGAGATTCTGGTTAATATCTTGTCATGTTCTTCTGTTTATCGTTTTAACAAAACTATGGATCCACAATTGGTCACTATATGTATGTTCGTATGTTTAGCGCCAGAGAAAGGACACAGTGGTGGAATGTTTTACCCCATCTGAAACGATTGGCGTTGGTTGGCAGTTGTTGAATTACATATTTTTCGCAAATTGGTACAGGATATCTAGATTTTTTCACCAGTGTAAATTTGCGAAAATTACATTTGTTACCGACTTGGTCAGGAAACCTTGATTTTGAAGCAGGACAACATGGTTAGATATTCAATCATCTTTCAATTTCTTTAGGGCCTAAGATGTTGACATTGAGTCAGGTAGTAAGTTGTCTACCGATGTTTCACGCCTAGGACAACGAATTTCATTATTTGAATTTCTCTAAAAATAATTGCGGTGTTTTAATCTCATTTTCAACGATGTGTCTTTGAGTGAAACAATATTATGACTACCAATCTCTAATGGTAGACCAAGAATTTCAGACACAAAGCCGCTAATGGGTATCGATAGCCAATTTCTAGCTGCTTCAACAATTAGGTTGTCCAAATTGTTGACAATCCACGTCAGAAAAAAATCTTCGCAGCTCTAACTTCAAGTGTGAGGGAAAAAATTTTCTCAAGATTTGTATGTAATTTGGTTATTTAGTTGTTGAAGCAGCTAGAAATTGGCTATCGATACCCATTAGCGGCTGTGTCTGATTGAAAATTGTAGTATATTTTTCAACAAAGTTGAGAAAATTTTGTACATTGTCTACAATGTTATAGGGCGAAAGTTGGCAGGATCGTTTAGAAATTAAAATTGTTGAACCATTTCGCCAACACGTTGGAATTATTGCAGTTTTCAAACATCTGATAATTTATGAAGGTATGCGCGGAGTGTTGGACACCAGCAATTGTTGAAACAGTTGTTTTAGCCTTACATTTTCGAACAATTGATGCAACATACTGAAGGTCGGTTTCTCAATGTCCCCAACAAATGATGTTGATGATAAAGAATCCAAGCAGGCAATTCAAATAAAGTTCAACCATCAACCATTAATCCTTTGCTAAAAAAATTACCGCCATCGACCACATAGAACTGAGGAGGTATATTTGGAGATGGTGAAAATGATGATTTGCACGCCTTCCAGAAGTGGCTTTGGGTCAGCCGTTTGGGTTGGTTTTTATTCGAAACTCGAATGGTTTGGAAACGTTACAGCGGATGGTTTTTCTTCTTCCGGAACCCCTGCGTTAAGGAATTTGCAAGTTTTCTGGTGGATTGATAAACCTTTATTGTTCTTGCAGTGTTTGCCACAACAAAAAGTCAACATATTAAAATTGTATGTGAAATTATTATCATTATTCATTAAATTCGAGGAAATTTTAAAGTTTGCACAAAGTTGCTTACATTCTTATTACCTTCTTGTGTATGGCAGTGATTGTTGGAGTTTTCCAATCATCCGGTACAGATCCATTATTTAATGATGAATCAAAAACTATTTTTAGTTCACTTACAATCTGACGTCTTTCTTCAAATATAATCCTAAGATCCCCGGTGATTTATCTATTTTCAGTGCGTCCAGTTTCGTTAGCCTTCTCATTCATCGTCATATCCTTCATCTCCTGTACCACTGTCGCGGAATAAATCTCCCAGTTGCATTCACTTTCCATGGTGAAAACCTAAGAGAAATATCTTGCTTTCTTGGACTTTATCAGAATCTTTTGTTAGAATCATCTCTAATTCCTGTCCATTTTTCATCTTTAAGACACCGATTGACCCATATGATTTTGTTTTTCCCTTAACATATTTCCAGAACCTTTATGGCTGCTTCTTGCTAAGCCTATCTCTTTCTGTACTTATTTTTATTGGATCTTATTTTCGGACAACATTGTTTATTTATTTTCTTGTATTGTACTAGTTTTGTCCTGGTTATGACATTAAACTGACCCTCACTGCCTTGTGAGTGATGTTGGATCATCAAAGGCTAGGCCCACCGCTTATAACTGTGGTTGCGTAAGGAAGGGCGTCCTGCGTAAAAATTAGCCAAATAAATTACTTATGATGACAGAAGTTACAATGGTTTCATCATAGGTAGCCAAACGGCAACCCCCGATCTCGGGGAAAATGTCGTCTAAACGTGTGTTGTTGTTATTGTACTAGTTTTCTGCATTCTGTGTCTCGCGCCACCTATTCCATTATCTGTGTTTCTTTCTTATTAACTGTGTCGCTGTTCTAGGCATATTTGGTGCCTCCATGTTCTCTTCTTTTGCCACCAAATATACCTAGGGATACATTTACCTATTCTTTTGTTAATTTCTTCTTCCAGAATTAGCCACATCTGATTTACGTCGTTATCACATCTTTCCAGCCGAGTTTTCCAATCTATATTCAAATGGCGTCGCTTGCCATGTACTTCCATTCCCCCAACTTTTCTGAACTGTTCCTTGACCACGTCCCTGGATTGATCTTTCTTTTATGTCATATCTCGTGCTATAAAAATATTCTCGAATCCTTCCTCCGCTTGTTTCAATTTGTTCAAGTTTTTCATAACACGATTCTAAAACATTCTGTTTCCACCAGTAATGGTCTGTCCCGTTTATCGTAATTCTTCCCTCCCAAACGTATAATTTTCTTTATCTCATCTTGGTTGTCTGCAATACAAAGTGCGTCGTTAAGCAAATCCTTCACAAAGGTTTTATCATAATTTTGTCTATTCTATTGCTATTAGTGCTTTTACGTTCCCTGTATATATTATATTTAATTCTTATTCTTAAAATTCTTTTGTCTTTTTCAAGTACTTTTTGTGTGCACTATTTTAATCTCCTACTGCAATATCTTTTTTCTTGGCTTCCCTAAATGTTTTCATTACTTCGTCAATTGCTCCTTGTACATTTGCTTGGATATCTTAGGTTTCAAGCCAATCTTAGTCATTTCAGCATATAACTTCCTAATTTCTTTGATATCATTTAATTTTTCTTGCCTTTCATTTGTAATTAACTTAATCTCCTTACATTTCTGATATCTTCCCTTCACAATTACTGTCCAACAGATCTTTTACTAATCTTTTCAGCTTTTCTGTTCTCTCGTTTGACAGTTTCACATTTTCTGCCAACATCATAACTTCTTCGCAGTTTATGCACACAGCGTTAGTAGGATCGTAACTCAACAGAGTGAAAAAGATACTCTTACTTGAAGAATTTAAACGATACAAGTTTTTTAATATTAAAATTAAATTTTTATGAATAAAATTGTAGTATTGCAAAAACGTGACTTTTACAATCCAAAAATAGCAAAAAAAAAGTTATTAAAAAATAATGCAAAATGAGCGCGTACGTAAAAATATCATAAGCGACATATAATATGTAAAAAAATATGCCATTGAAAATAATTCTAAAATATTAATTATTTTATATAATATATTAATCATTTCTGAATTTATATAGCGTTTACCTGAGTCGCACATGTCCTGATGGCTCTTTCAACTTATGCATCTTTTTCAGATGTGTGGTGAGAAAAGTGCCTCTAGTGTATTTATGGCTACATAAATGGCATGAATATTTTGCAACATCACCCTAAAAAATAAAATAGAATAGAAATATATATTGGAAACCTCTAAAATATTGATAGAAAAAAATATTATAAAGGATGATTTTGGCGTGAACCGACAACAACATTATAATGAATACTGGAATTGAATCCAACTTCCCACTTAAGCCGCACAGGCTTGTGTGTGATAAAATTCTACTGAAATTTTTAGTTACCACTACTGAAACCGAAGCCGCGTTTTCCAAAGCCGTTTTTCCACCCAACCCGTCAGCAGCTGAAAAATTATTCGTCAAGTTTTATGGGCTGTCAGTAGGCACAACATTTCCTCAGGAAGACGAATATCATCATCACCAGCTTTTCCGAAAAAAATCAGGGAGCTCATGAAGCGACGGGATGCTCTCAGATCATCCGACCCCTCATCCAAAGACATCGCCATCATGTCAACAACAAATGAACAAACTAAAACAAACTCGCTGGAAGGATTTCCTGGGCAGGTTCAATAAAAATATTAACACCAATCGCCTTTGGAGTACCATAAAAACTCTAAATGGCCAACAAATACAATATTAAACGTATTTGATGTAACAATGCCATCAGTTTCAACAAATGAACAACAAACAACCTGCAGATTGCCAACTTAGTCAACAAATAGTTTGTCGCAACTAATCGTCAGACATCTAACAAATAAAAAAAAACAATTAAAAGACTAATAAAACAATAAAGACACTTTTTGGTGCGAGGATCTCACCAGATCAGGTTTCAGCAGCAATAAAGATTTTAAACCGTCCAAAGCCTCGGGACCAGACAACCTGACAATCGTTCACCTTAAACATTTAGGCCATATAGGAACTTCCTTCCAAACTATTTAATGAATCTCTGCGAACCTACAGATTTCCAGACATATACAAAAAAGCCAAAATAATCCCTCTTCTTAAACACGGCAAACCAGATAGCCAAAAGAATCATACACTACTATGCCCGGCCGTTAAGGTATTTGAAAAATGCTTGCTGCCGCTCATAACCAAACACCTAACACTGGCGAACCACTAACATGGATTCCGCCCTTATCTCTCAACAACCTCAGCACTCAACCTGATAGTTACCGACAATGCCAACGACCTCAATCAAAAGAGACCAGCTCATCGCACAGTCCTCACAGCGCTGGACCTCACAAAGGCATTTGACACGGTCAATCATCAAACGCAATTGTCCGAACTTATATCATCATCGCTTCCACGGTCAACTGTCCAATGGCTGTCAAACTATCTGCACGGACGCACTACCATAACAGAGTTCTGACATCCACACTCCAAAGAACGTATCCGATGAGGAGTGCCCCAGGGTTCAGTACTTTCCCCAGCTCTGTTAACTTTTACGTTTTCAAAACACCCGAACCTCCTCATGACATTAAAATTATCTCGTACGCAGACAACTTTACCATCTACACCACAAGTCCAGATGCGGATACTTTGACACACCGGCTCAATTGTTACCTGCCGAAGCTATGCGATTTCTTTAATAAAACAAACTTAGAGATTTTCACCTCTAAGTCAACAGTCACACTCTTTACATCGCACACATCCCAATTCCATTACCCCCCACGAATCAAAGTCAGTAACCAAATTCTTCTCCTTGAACATAATCCGAAAATATTAGGCCTGACACTCGACACAATGCTATCTTTCTCCAACATCATTAATTGACAGCATCAAATGCCTCTAAAAGAAAAAATATTTTAAAAGCACTCAGCGGCACCTCATTTGGTCAAAACAAGGAAACTCTACTACAGACCTACAAAACCATTGGTCGCTCCACAACTGAGTATGCATGTCCTTCCTGGTCCCGCTGACGTTCGACACCGGTTTCAACCGCCTCCAACGCTCTCAGAATGCTTCTTTCGCCTGATCACATAAAATCATGCCATAAAATCAAGTCGGAGCAGCACTGCACTCAGAATGCCAGATGCTAACCGTGAAGCAACATTCGGATTTTATCAACAATTCAACGAGATGAAAATCATCAAAACTGCAAACAACATCAACATTATAAGTTAATAAGAAGATCCTTAAGGAATTACATAAATCAAAAACGAAACCATTCATATATTTAGTCAAATACTATAAAAATGAACTATCACCATCATTAATTAATGACTATCACTATTATAAAAAACGAGGGTTAATGAATGTTATGTTAACGACTATTAATAAACGCACAATCATAACAAGATTTATGAGTTATTGTAATCCATTATACATTATTATTTTTTCAGATCAACGAATTTTGATCATGATCATGGTATTTTTTTCCCAACATCAAAGCTTATCAAGATGTTGATAATTCGGAGCATGGAGTTAAATTTCGCACTCTCAGCCAATTTCAAATGGTATCCGACTACTAGCGAATAGTCATTAAAATGAAGATATTTCTGTTCAATAAGCTTGAACCAACCCAACCATTAACGAATGACAACAAAACATCTTATATCTCATATAAATATCTTATATAGACAAAATAAGCAATTCATCAAATAACTAACATCTATCGTCAATCGTTGAAAAACTTTATTGAAGATTTTTTTATACTACTAACACTAGTAACAAGATCTAGATCTATTCAAAAACGAAGATTAATGAATGTTATCGACAAATTGAGCAAATTTTTATTAGAAACTACAACGGAAGAAAATAACGACAAACTCAAAAAATACGTGCAGGTGGTTGACAAAAAAAGGAGCCGCCTTCTTAGACAAAATAATGAATTTTTGGTAAATGTTTCGCATGATTTAACAATAATAATAACATGCAGATCATAAAATACAATTACACGTGCAGGTACAGACTTAATTTTTTTTATACACGTCCCATTGACTGATTACGTTAATAGGTTTTTATTTTATTTCCATTTAATTTCCGATACCAATCAAAGATTCACCACATAATTCAGAAGTAATCAACCTCTCAAAATTTGTTGAAACTTC